CCTTGACCTTGACAGTCCGGCTGCCCACGGGATGTCAGCAGCCACTTAAGAAGATCCCTCCTCACCCTGTTTTAATGTATTTGAGGAACAACTAGTAGGCAAGAGTGAAGGCTTCCTTCTTACAGCTGCACGTAACATTCATTGACCACAGAAATAAAAACTTTTGTGAAATTGCCTTCACTTAGTGTGTGAGTGTGTGGAAAGGACTAGATTGTCTCCAGAGTTGAGAAAGTTACATCACGGAGCTACGAACTGCAAGTCAGAGGAGCCAGGAACTCACGGTTTGGCCACAAGGGCACCTCGTGATGCAACAACCCCCTCGCTGCGGCCACCGCCAGGTTCACACTCGTTCCCAACGCCCTCCCGCCTTAACACTTTCTTCGTGCCGTTCTCGTGGTGCCAGCTGCTTCACTTGGTCAAGTTTTTTTATTTTTCCCCGTTTCCTTCGTCACCAGCAAGTTGTGTTATCTGCTCCACACTAGGTGACCAGTTCCTTCTGGTGCCTGTAAGGGGTGTGTGTACGTATTCATGAACGTTTCGGTGACTCAGGCAATTGACGATGTAAATGATTGATTATCAAATTTCAATACTGTAGTTATATGAATAAATTTTAGTTCCTGAAAATCATTTAAGTGTAAAATTAAATAAATGGTGGAGAGCATAAGAGCACAAGCAGGGTGCCCCTCCTCTGGCGTGGTGTAAGTGGGAGCTGGGGGCGTGGACCAGGAGCCCAGGACCCCCTAGCAACAACTGAAGGGCAACTTTGTGGGTGTGACTGGGTGCCGGGTTGCCATAGTTACACCATGCTGCCCCCTATCCTCTTACAAATGGGTCAAGGTCCTCTCTATGAACAATACCTGTGCATTTTTTTTAATCACGATCCCTGTCGCTCAGGAATAATCAAAGCATGTCAAACAAAGATGACCATGGCAAGGGCACTTAAGATAACGTAGGGGAATGTAAATAATTTATTATTGTATTGGTTTTTGGCATAAAGAAGAGCTACACCCTCGTGCATAAACAAGACACAGTTTATAAGGAAGGAGGGAGTTGGTGGGCGAGGGTTGAGACACTTGGAGCAGGTGGCGTATAAAGCCCCTGAAGTGGGAGGAATGAGCGGCGTGGGCTCGTGAGGACGAACTTGGCACAAGTATCCTCGGGTCAAGGACAAAATATTGCTGTTCCTTTACCTTCGAGGGTGGTGAGTCAGAGTGGCCGCCGTCCTACTGAAGCGACCACGCAGCTGAGGGCATGAACGTCAGCGGTTTAAACTAACTCAAATGCGACCACTGGCTGCGTGGTGTAGAGGCAAGGACGTGCGTGCTGGAGGACAAGTACTGTGGTAGGTTATCTGGAGGTTTAAGGTCAGCGTAGGTGATGTAATATGGTATCGGTTATGTGGTGTAGATAAATGGCCTTGTGGAGAAGAACATGGTAAGAGGGAGGATGTAGGTGGGAGGGGTTTGGGCCCGAGGTGCGGGGCTAGCAGTCAGCAGCAGGAGGGACGGGCCTTGAGTAGGGCGTTGACCGCAGCCCTGCCGCCTGTACCGCCGACCTTCATGTACAACACTGCCAGAGCCACTGTGCTGCCAGGTCCACATATCTGCTTATGGGATTGTCCTAATTTTGAGGAAGTTCTTATTTGACGCTGAACAGTTATAACTTCATTTATTATCTCGGTATTCTTGGTGTAATGTTATCGTGTGACTGATAATTAGTCGTTGCATGTGAATGAAAATCGATTTCAAACATATTATGTAAGGAGGTGAAGCATTTGAGTGCTAGTCGAACGCTGATCCTAGTCCATGTTGAAAGAAAATTATATCGAGTTTGCTGTGACTGCTTTCAAGTGCTACCCACTCAGTATGCGAAGCGTAGTTTATTCTTCAGTTTAGCCTTGAACTCACCACTTTGGGGTAGGGGGAAGCCAGCAGTACTCCGTCAACCTGGGCCATTACCCGCATTCACTCCCCACAGCGGACGCCTAAGGTAACTAATTAAGAACGGTGGCTTTTAAATAAACTGTAACTTATTATTATCAAGAGGATTTGGATAAGGTGCTCAGTAGAGTTATGAGTGAGGTGTGAAGCTGGCCTCCTGCAGTGTGAGAGAAGGTTCGGCCAGAGCGATATACGGGTGAAGGTTAGGCGGCCAGTTGCCACACCTCGCCACTCTAACTTCTCCATTGTTACAAAAACCCGAAAGAAAATAAAATCACTGTCACTGCTTTCGTAATCGTTTGTAATGGTTTAAGTGATGCGGATGTATCTATTTTCTTAAAACAAATACTAAAACGCCTATTTCACAACTATATATAGAGCCAAAAAGAGAGACTTAGACAGCCAAGGTCTCAAACTGGCGACATTGAAAAGACCCCACCCCAGTCAGATGTAGAGGGGGGGGGGGGCTGTCCTATAGACTAACCCTCGTCCCAGCTTCCTTCTTCCTCATCCTGTGAAGACTGCACTCGAGTTTCGCTTCCTGGTATTACAAGGCTGCTATAGATTTGAAGGAAAGACTCTTGAAAAGGAAGTAATGTCCAATTTAAAACAGGAAAAAGGCCTACCTTTAATTAAGAAAATAACTTGTTAAATTAAATGAAACATGAATATATTAAAGGGATAAAGTTTTTAGAAGTATTTCGCAATACAAAGGCAATTTGAAATAATTTCGTATATATTTAAAATGTGTAAACAAGAGAGGAGACGGGTGGCGTGAACACCCACTTTCACACGTGGCGGTGGACCCCGGCTCCTCCCGACACCCCACAATGGCAGCCTCGGTGATTTAAAAAGTGAAAGCAGGGACACGGCCGTTTGAGGACAGACTTTGGTGGTGCTTGTAGCTGTATGACTGGTCTATTCACCTTCACTGACGTTACAGTTTTAGATCACCTTTGATTTGTCCTTAAGCAGTATATTTAGGTTGCTAGTAAGGGCTCATGTTTTGTCGCTCTACGGTCAGGCTAAAGATGCAATACTTTCAGAACATTGTACATATTTTTACAGTTCTTGGGGTGATTTTATGTCTGGTTTATCAGGTACACGTTAAGATAATTTCCATGGGCTGTACGTCGCTTATTTGGGCATTGCAGTCCAAGGAGAGGCTACAAGTACTTGTATGAGTTCCTTTTAAATACATAACACTTGAACGACGGGCGTATTGACGGAGAAACTTAAGAGGAGACGAGGGAATGCCCGTCGATATTGATCTAATGCCACTAACATTTTATAATTACGGGAGTGGGTCGATAATTTACCAAGGTGAGTGCAGTGTGGAATTCACCCCCTCTAGTCCCTCGTGGCACAGAGTAGTGATCCTGTGTAGTTAAATTGGAGAATGTCGTAGTTCACGATCCATTTTAATTGAGGAAAAACATACCATTAGTTTTCATAATGCTGTTACTAATTTTAGTGTGGCGGGAAGTTGTTACAAAGAGTGTGTGGGTCGTTGTAATGCTTTGGTGTGTTACGGAAACAGTAGGAAAGAGGCGGAAACCGAGCTGGTGTGTGATTGGTGGTCTTCTAGGGGCTTGAGGAGAGGGTCACTGTCCTGCGTGACGTCACCACATCAGCTTGTGACGTCACGCCCCCTTTTCCCATGGGTGGGGAGCAGAAGGGAAGAGGTGGTGTACGGTGGGGCAGCACTAGCGCACGTGGGAGCGTATAGCGAGGGTGTACCAGCGACAAGCTCTCTGTTTATGTGTACCTGTGGCTCCAACGTGGCTGGTAGAACTGTGCTGGCCGCCCTCACCTCTCCCCCCCCCCTCTCCCTGCCTCACTCAGTGACTGGGCCGTCCCCCCCTCAACACACTCCTCCTCCTCCCCCCCCACACCACCACCGCCACACTCCTAGTTCCAGCCCTCACCACCGCCACCGCTGCTGCCAGTATAACATCGCCCACTTTCGCGCTCGGTCGTGGCGGCTGATAGTGAAACCGAGTTTGAGCCGTGCACGTGTTGACAACTTACCTGTGTTACCGTGGACATTACGTGTCCTGCTCTGAACTCTATACGGACTGCTGTCTACTATATCAAGATATATCTGACTCTGTTAATAGTTTAGGAATAATACTTATGGTGACGGAACTGTACTTAACCTGTGACATCGAATTATTGTGCATAACGAAGATATGCATACAGAACTTAGAGTGAATTTACTACGTGGTAGTGAAAGTTAGTGAGGGGAGTGGTGTTGTGTTATACTAGTGTTGCCCACAAGCAGGATTGTAACATACACTCGCTACAATGTTCTGTGAACAGGAATTTTATGAGGTGCCTATGGACTCCCAAGTCTTAGTGGACAAGACTGTCATCGGTAAGCCAACCGGACTCCTTAAGTCCACTAGATCGGGTTATGTATAGGGCCAGCACTGTTACCTTACTCCCTAATGAGTTTTATAATGTGATAACACTAGAGGTGGTACATGATAAGTAATTTCTTTGTGTGTTTACGGCTAATATTAGGCAGCAGATAACAGTGTAAAACCGAAGCGATATATTGTGTATAACATAGTTTGTATTTTGTGTATGCTTTTAGACATTTAGAGGGAGAGTCTTAAAATAACGTAGTTGGTAAAGATATGTTTATCCTCTGCAGTAGTTGTAAATTTAACCCAACTGACTTAAGATACCTAATTATTATACCACCATTATTCTCAATAATACAAGGAGCCCTTAGCAGATGGCTACTAGATACTGTCGCGATTAGCTAAAAACTGATCTTTACCATCTACTGCACCTGCTGGTTAGTTGAACACAGGTTTTCACCGACATTATTTCAGTTAAACAGATCTTAGTGTATTGATATATGAATCAGTAATTAATTCTACTGTACTAGCCAACTGATTCCCATTTGGCTCAAGAAACGCTGAACATGTAACCATTTGTGACTACTTTGTGTACTTTCAATCTGCTTCTTACCATCAACATTATTGCTACCATCAGTAGCCCGCTGTTCTCATAACCGGGTACTCAACTGGTCTTCTCTTTCTCTTGCAGAATTTGACGGGACAACCGTTCTGTGCCGCGTATGTGGCGATAAGGCTTCTGGATTCCACTATGGTGTACACTCCTGCGAGGGCTGCAAGGTATGTTAAGTTTTCCCAGTGTTATTCTCAATGCAGATAGTCTTAGAGAATGAGAAGTTTCGTCAATTTCAGTTGGAAAAATTCTTGCTTTGTCTTTGTTAGTACATGCAGGATATAAGTAGTACTGTAGGTTTGCTACTTGGGACAAGGAATGGGAGCAGAGGAGAGACAGAAACTATGGTTGAGGATACAGTTGATGTGGCGTGAGTGAGACGGTCCCAGCCCACCTTTCTCTAGTCCTCCTCACCACAGCGCGGCGAGCAACAGTCTCTCAAAAATAGACCAAGCAACTGCTCAGCGTCGACGTCGTCCCCTTGAATCGAACCCGGGCGAGGGGACAATGACCTAGCCGAGGACTCACGCACTTCCCTCCCCTGCTGCTGGTGCCTGCGTCATGCACTGATTCTCCTGCTTGCCTCGCGACAAGCGCACACCCTGCATAAAGTGCTCATCATGCACACATCTGCTTACATGGTACCTCTACCACAAAATAAAATACACTCCTGGTAAAGAGGGTTATACGTATGGAGATGTGACCTGACCTCCAGCAGGAGTCTGGCACTGAGTCAGCAGGGGCTTTCTTGGGTCATGTCGACATGACCTAATATCCTCTCAGCTGACATTTTATCCGAGCTAGATTTCTGACGCATCCGAGGCCATACCAGGTCAGCGGCCTTTACGGTAGAATAAATGTTTTGATTAGCGTTGAAAGGAAAGGTATAATGGGAGAACTTTTAGCAATACTTACCTTCACAGTTATATAGGATGTTGGATAGCTTATAACAAGTATATGCAGACTCGCTCCCGGTCCTTCCGTGTATGAGTACCTGGTAAAGCGTCTAGACAATATAAATACATAGTAAACTTGATGGTGGCATCGATGACTTGGATAACCTCCACATTGCAGAGTGGCACCAGTGTGATCTTGAGCCAAAATATTGGGGCCAGATGTACGGGTTACTGACCTTGTTCCTATCTGGTGGGCGCCCACCCAACTTCACACCCACTGCTGAAACCTTTGGTGGGCGCCCACCCAACTTCACACCCACTGTTGAAACCTTTGGTGTACGCCCACCCAATTTCACACCCACTGCTGAAACCTGTGGTGGGCGCCCACCCAATTTCACACCCACTGCTGAAACCTGTGGTGGGCGCCCACCCAACTTCACACCCACTGCTGAAACCTTTGGTGGGCGCCCATCACCCAACTTTACGACCATTGCTGAACCCTATACTATGCTTTCGCCAACCCTAATTACTAACTATGTGGTTATTGTGCGTCCTTACAGTATGGATATCACCAGCAACTTTTTTTTTTTTTTTAGATTTTATCATAATTGTTTGGTGTAAGAATGTAACTTCATAAAAAATATGCACTTTAATTATTATGTTGTCCGTTAAGTCGTGGAAATTTTCAAACTTGTCTCGCTTCTAAGCTGTAGAAACTACGAGTATGTTGAGAACGAGGTGCTCGTGTCGCCTGGTCAATATTTCTAAGGTTGTCGCTAGTGGAGTCGTCCCCAAGGATGATAAGCTTCGGGGATGCCTCGAGGTTTGGTTGGGTCATTAAAAAGATTTATTTCAGGATGAGGGCATCGTTCACAGGGGTCTTTCGAGGACAAGGGAGGCTTGCGGATAAACACTAAGGTTCAGCCGAGGGCAGTGTTGTCGTCATCAAGGTTCAGTCGAGAGCACAAGTATTTCAGGGTCTTCCTCAAGGACCCCTGCGTCAGTTGATAAGTCACCACCTGCGTTATAAAACTAAAGAGTACTGGTGATAGCCGACCCGTTCCTCTTCTATTTTCGCCAGCCACATATTTCCCTTTCCCAGCCTCTCATCTCTTCGTTTACTTTTCCCTTGGGCTTTCCATCCCCACTTCTTCACTTGGTTTCCCTCCACATCCAATCACACCCAAGTCTGATGAAGTCAAGTCTGACATCACCTTAGCCTCTCCTCCTTGCCCCCGATCCACAATCTTCACTAATCCCATCTTACCCCTCCCCCGTGTCTCCCACGCCCTCCCCTACCACTCACCCATTCACCCTGCTCGCCAGCTGCCCTGTAGTCGGAATGGTGACCTTGTGGACAAGAGTAATAGTATGAGTGCGACAGGGTGTTGGCAGGCAAGGTGTTGTCTTAGAGGACACGAGTTTGCCTTGATCTGTGTTAGAGAATCTTTGTGTATATCCTGGTAAACGTGGTTAGTTTGGTATGACTCTTTTGTGTACTATATCTGACGATGCCAAATTACTATGTTTTAGTATAGCATTTTGCTGGTATGCTCCGTAGTGCAGCAGAATATACCAGTTCAGCATAGGGGGTTAGCTGTGAGAGCTCGAGTTTGTGTTAAGTAGAAGAGGTGGAGTATGTGTAGAGGCTGCAACGACCAATGACAGTACAATCTTTTATTACCTAAGGCTTGGTCTTCTTATGCTGCTTTCAACACACGCACGCACACACGCGCGCGTTCTTTATTACTCTTGCCAAGAATCTCATTATAGAAGTACTAGTAGCTGAGGTATAAAGTGTAGTGTATTTACTGTTCGGTAATCATATCTTCCTGTGTTACAAGTTATTTACAAGTTTTCCACGGTGGACATTGACATCGGCATCCGAGCTGAAGGTTATTAGGACAATCGCCTCTCCAGCGTTACCTTGAACTCTGGGAAGTAATTCGATTTTGATCCTTGTGATGAGGCGGCGCAGGGCCCACCCCGTCAAGGTCAGGCTGCGGTGGACGGCTTACTACCCCAACCAACGAATATTTAATTTTAGATATCATCATTGTTCTTCTGCTGAAGTCAATAACACATTAGTGTCACACGTCATTTGTCAGAATCAAGGTCCAGGGTTGACACACGCTGAATTCACTGATAATCTACTCATTTGTATATAAATCTATCCCGTTTACATAGTTAGGAAATGGATATTTTTCACTGTATACTGTAGTAGCCTGATAAAGGTGTGTTACGTAGCTCAGTGAGTGGCGGTGTTAAAGATGAGGTACAGACGTCGTCACTATCACAACCCACACTCCGTGAACTATCCATGCCGGAGTTTTTATTTCATGAAGGTATACAGTACTGTGAATTGGTTGTTGTAAAGGCAGCAGATGGAGAGTGGTGGTAGGAGTTGTTGGTGAAATCTACGGTCGTGACACTCCGTGTTTTATTGTTTGTGTCGGCCTGAAGTGTCCTCCCTCAATGGGATAAGACCCCTGACCTGACTTCACTTTTACCCCCTAGGGGCCAGGGATGAGGTCAGCATTAGTGTCAGTTTCTTTGGGGGGAATTGTCTCTTTAACAAGGTGAAAGTTTGACCTTCCTCGGCGGATAAAGGTCATTAACCTCTGTAACTTTACCTGTTTCCCCTGGGGATTTTCTGTCGCCTCTGTTAAGTCAATTTATAGCTTAAAATTTCTTAACCGGTTGTAACATTTCTTGAGCCTTTTCACTCATAACCAATAGACATAAATGAGAACTGTAGATGTAGCATTCATATTATTGACCTGACCATGCCACGTGGTCTGACAGGCGCCTGGTGCCGGCTTCCCAACTTTCACTTTCCTGGCCCAAGACAAGAGGAGAGATCCAGGTTCTTATACCTGTGTATTTAATCATGCTGGTTCACTCTCCATCTCCCACTCTCTTTGCTGCCACAACAGAGTTCGTCCCTTGTTGATGCGGAATATTCTTTGGTCAACCCGTATTGCTTCTTATCCTTCATTCACAGCAGAATTTTTATCTCAGAAATCATCCCAAGTATCTGGATTAACAATTCTATTTCACTAGTAGCTAATGGTTAATTTATGCTTATCGTTTTACCCAAGAAAAGGCGTATATGACGACCTTTCCTTTCCCGAGTTAAAATCCTTTGATCACATATGTAAACATAAGCGATGACCAAACTTAATGAGGTACACACATCAGCATCAAGTCAACCAAGTTAATTATTAATTTGTTATGGCCTTATGGGTAGAAAGTTTAAACATGAGAACACTACCAAGGCGGTCAATTTGTTCAAGTTCAGCCAGGTACGTAAGAGTGGTGATGGAAGGCTGGCAAGGTATAAGCTTAAGCTTCGAGTTGTGTAGGTTGCATGCAGAGTAAACATTACTGGGCGGTGGTGAGGGTTGTTGTGGGGGGGGGGGTGCCAGTGAGTGACCTAGATACACATATCAACTTCCCGGGGTCACCAACCTCGACCACCAGCCCTGCCGGGGTACCACTAGGAGGTCTCGCGCAAGATGCATTTGTAGGTTCTGTTTTTTTAAGACTGTGGAACTAGGGTTAATATTACACGAAGCAGTTGACCAATATAATGCAAACTGCATTAAGTTATGAAACACACCAACAAAAGTGAATGTGAGAAGTGTCAATGAAAGTGGCACAAAGTGTGAGTGAGCCGGGAAGTGAACGTTGGAGGGGAGGAGTGAAGACGGAGAAGCCCACCACTTTCTCCAGTCTCATTCCTCTTCCTCATCATCGGCGAATGCTACATGTCTACTTCGTCTCCAATAACATTGCCATACACTTCTATTCGAAAGATGAACAGGCGCCTCAGTAATATGAGGAATACATGCATACTGTAGACTAGACTACCACATATTCTTTACTGTTGTGTTATATCAAGTTTAAAAGATATTCAGAATGCACGTCATATATACATGAACTAGATTCCGCGAGTAATGAACTAGATTTAGAGTATAATCACTATCATTCCTATCACGCGCTTTGTTAGGTGTCACGTGAGCCCTCGGTCACTGAACCCCGACAACGAAAACGTATCAGAGAAAATGGGAACGCTGGCGCTCGGTGCTTGTCGCCAGTTATAGGGCTGACTCGTAAAAACTTGGATTTACCTCAACTTTATTGTTATTTTACTTGTAATTTATCCACTATTTGAGTATGACTTTATTTATTTAGTAGTAAATGGTTCTAGAAGCTGTAACCAGTGATTTCCTGTAATAATGTTGAACATATAAACTATTGATTGTTAT